AATACAGAAATACATTTACACTGGCTTTATATAATGAGAATTATTTAAATCTAGTCGCTGAAAGGATTAAAGCAAAGCTGAGTTTCTTCAGAAAGAAGACTGGCTTATACCTGACTGGAGAGCCAGAAAGACCACAGAATGTAGTCAGAATGCCCATGCGGAATGGGCAGTGATGGGTTTTCATGATAATTGCAGGAAGCTGTGGGTCTTACAAATACATAATATGGGATAAAAAGAGACAAGGATTCACTGGGTGAATTTTAAATCCCAGGGACCAAGGAGTCAATGGAATTTGATTCAAGTAACTCTCACATAGGTACAGTGATCAAGAACTTAAACTTGGGCTCTAGAGCTGTCTGTCTGGGTTTGAACCCCAGGCTTACCACCTACAGGCTTGGCCAAGTTACTCCATCTCTCTTAGTTTCCACACTTATATAATGGGCACAATAATATTAACTTCCTATAGGGGCTTTATAAGGATTAGATGATACAACGTATGTAAAGCATTTAACACAATCTGTGGCATCAGGAGAGGTTATCTTATTATGGGGTGGGGGACGTGCCATTTAGAATATAAAGACAAGAATGAAGACTGGCAATCCTTTGAATAAATCGCAGTATGACCAGTATACCTATTGTATATGCTTTAAAAGAAAAGATCAAAAAGTTGTATTTCCAATTGGTTTCAATGCCAGAAACTTTGTATTAAAGAGGTAATAACAAGCACCAAGATCCTTTCTCTTCCAGCCAAAGATCTGTTTCCTTCAGCTACACAAAGGACAGAGAAAGAGGCAGAGCTGTCTCACCTGCAGTTCCACAGCAGCTCCTAATTCTCGGGGCTCTTGGCACAAACATGTTCTGAGTGCTGAACGCTGAGACCTTGGTTTTTTCAAAGCCTAACCTAACCGCTACTGTAACAAACTGGGCTACAGTGATCTGCTTTCATGACAATCCTCTGGCCTCTGACTTCTTTGCTGTCAGTCCCAGTAACCCCCTTAGTCCCTCAAATGCAGGCATGTGGTCACACGCTAACCCATTCTGCTCCTCCGTAAGGTTTCAAACCCTGAGGCACCTCTTCTCTACTGTTCCTTCCTCTCCTTTATCCTCAGCAATGTCTTCCTCTTCTCCCCCCACCCTTCCCTTTATGGCACCAAATCCTCCCTGAAATTCAACCACATCCTTAAAACTCTTCTTGAGACCTCACTGTAGTTCCCAAGGTTCCAAGTGCCCCAGAAGAGCTGTGTAAGATACTTTACCTGAAACAATGACCTCACCTGGAAAAGGTATTACTTCTTGAGGTTTTAAATGTTTATTTCCTTTTGCATTTAAGTTTGAATTTTACCTTATTTATGGAAGAAGGAGGAGAAGGAGAAGATGAAGAAGGTGGTGACTGGCTGAGACTTTCAACACAACCAATCTGAGCCAAAATATCCACCTTAAAATAAAAACGGTGCTCAGTAAATGAAGAAAAAAAAAAAGAGTATACCAAAGCTCTTAACTAAAAACAGCAAATTCACAGCAGGGCTAAGTTTCCCAGGAAATTCCAGCATGCCCCTCACTCACACACATTACATGCAAAAACCAAAGACCAATTGTGAAGCAATGGGCTACCTTCAATGCATTAGCATATATTCTAAAGACTTATGGCTGTCATAATGCATTATCTCTGAAGCACTAAAAATAATTTATAGTACAGAGGAAATGGAACAAATATCATGCAAGTAACACAGCCAACGAAAGAAACTCCAGAGAAAAAACATAGCCAAGCTTTTAATAATGTTAAGATGTTGAACCTTTCGCTTTCACAGCCACCAGATACATGAGAGAGCGAAGATGAGATGAACAGCCATGGGGCTGACGTGCAGCAAGCTCAGAGCCATGATAAACCCACCAAACCCAGCCGAGGACACCAAATAGCCTGCCCAGGCCATGAACCCAGGAGCAAAGGTCTGCTGGTCGGTTCCCGAGGCTCTGACCAGCTCAGTATGCAGCATCGCAGGGAGAAAAAAATAATGGATCCACTCCCACTGAGCCAATCGAGGCCAAACCGGGATCACTGTTAAGAGGACAACTTTGGAGTCTAATTTCCAGGCTTCAGATCCCAGCTCCCCAACTATCTATTAGGCAAGTCAATGCCATTATTTAACATTTATACAGTTTTGTGAGAATGCACTTTTTGGTACAACTCTCTTGCAAAGTGATGGCATTATTTCCATTTTATAGATATAGATAAACTTGGTTTTCTAAACTAAGTAACATGCAAAAGTAGGCAATCAAGATAGAGTAACTGGGATGCAGTTACACTTCCACTTAAAACTGAAAAATAAAATTGACAAAATGTATGAAACTGATTTCAAATCACTGGACGTAAGGCAATAAAGGACCTGCTCCCTCCTGAAGAGACATTTCAGGCCACGGATCAGGGTGGGAAATGCACACAAAGCCCAGTGGACTTCGAATTGCAGAGACAGCTGGGAGTCTGGGGCAGAGGACCGAGGGGGGAGATGTGACTGACTGAAGGAGACCTCAGATCTTGGGCTCAGTACTGATCAGCGTATGCAGGTGAGAAAACTACCACATGAGAGGATTAAGTATCAATCTCTCCCATATGGCCCTTCTCACCAGCCAGAATTGAAACCTCATCATTCATATCATAGGGCACTGGGTACAGAACTGAAAAGGGTTTTGCTTCCCTGGAGGGGCAAAATGTCCTTAGACTAAATGTTGCTCTGATCTCACTTTAAAATGTTTAAAAAATAAGACATGAAAGGATTAAATTGTTTCTAAGTAACTTACCTGCATGCCAGAACAAGGATAGAAAATATCTATGGGAATACAAAACTATCCAGCATATAATAACAAGATAAAAATCACAAATGTCTGGCATCCAATACCAAATCACCAGGCAAGAAAAGAAACAAGAAATTAAGACCCATAAAAAGAGAAAAATCAATCGAAGCTGACCCAGTAATAACAGACGATAGAATTAGCAGTATTTAAGAGCAAGAAAAATTTCAAAATATTGACATCAGAGGAAACACTTTGAATGGGCTAAGAAGTGACAATTTTAAGCATAAGTGGGGAAAAAAACACTCTAGTAATTCCATGTGCCCCTAATAATACTTGAAAAAAGATAGAAAAACTCATTTGTTGCTATTTGAGGCAGCTATTAAAACAACTTCTTACTTTGAAAACTGGCAATTAAAGGGAAATTTGTTCCATTTCCTCTGTACTATAATTGGAGTCCAGACTTCTGTACTGGACTCCAATAGAAACTTCTTCAAGGTAGCTAACGAGCGTCAGTTGATTGAAGAAGAACGCCAGCTCCATAAACGTGGAAGGATAGCAGTACTGACTCAGGCAGGCAAGGATTACCATTTGGCGGTAAACGCGAAGGTGAATGGTTATAGCACTACATTAATACCAGACAGACTGCTTTACGGGCATGTGGAGAAACTGGACCTAGACAATGGGAGCACAAGACGATGATCAACCTGACCCAAGGTCATTCTGATCAATAATGGTGGGCTGACCAGATAGTATGTCTTCTGAAGTGATGCAGCATGAATATACAAAATTACGCATAATATATTCTTGCCCAAAGTGTTCAATGTGAATCCTTAGAGCCTTTAGGTACAACTTCCAAGTTTACAAATAAGTAATATAATTTACGAGTCTGAAATAGTGCTACAAGAATCAAGAGGGAGCAAAGGGGAGAAGAAAAACAAAGACTTCTAGAGGAGGTAATATTTGATTTGAACCTTACGGGTTGGGCAGACTTCTGAAAGATGGAAGGAGTCATTCAATCATTCTTGGAGAGAACAAAGATACAAAGAAAAGATGGGGCAGCATAAGGCATATTTGGAGAACAGCCAGTTTGGCTGGAGCCTAATACATAGTAAGGCTAAGGTAAGGACAGGGCCGCGTTGAGGAATCATAGAAATATAACTGAGATTGGAAAAGTATCTAATCCAACCTCAAATTCAGGTGAATTTCTTACACAATTTCCTACCATGCACTTCAGTGTCTGCTTGGTTATACTGACTGATAGGATAGTGACTACCTCCTCCACAACTCTTTCTCTTTGCATGTAGAAATGGTTACTTGTTTCAGGACGCAATGGGGGAGCCCCTAAATGTATTATTATAGAGGCAGCAGTGTATAAGATAGCTGTAATGAACAATTATTAAATCCCTACTGAGTACCAAGTACTGTTCTCAATACTTTATAACTATTTTTCCCCTTACGCTTTCCCACAGTTCTATGAGGTTTTACTGATGAGGAAACTGAGGCACACAGAACCTAAGTAGTTGAAAATATATAAAGAAATAACATTCCCTAAAGCCCATTCACTCTAAAGATGTAGGCAGCAATAATATTCTGATTTCCATTCTTTCAATTTTCTTGTTGTCACTCACAATGATAATCAATTAGCAATAACTGCACTAGGCAGCATCACCTAAACTGATATTTTCATTAAAATCAATGTAAAATTACAGTGTCGTTTTCCCACTGAATTATCCCACTGTTCCAAGTTTCCTAGAAGCAATACAATAAGAGCACCAAGTGCTAAGCCGGATCTGCAGCCACTTTTCCCTGGGCTGCATCTGCGAGAAGAGGGAGCTCTAGCTGAGGTGTAGCCAGGTGCCAAGGTCAGACAGATGGCTTCCTGTCCCAGCCAGAGCGTTGACACTGACCACCTCAGCACAGGACCCTTCTTTTCTTTCCACACCCTCACTTGACAGGGCATTTGCAACTTACAGGGTCTGTGTTCAGATCATGCCAGACTTTTCAAGGCAACTCTTGATGAACGCCATGCCTTTTCTCTTATTATCAACTTTATAAACAGTCTTTAGCAAGTTCAACAAGCAGGTTCTTTGTTAATACCCAAGAGAAAAGCCACACAAACATCTGACAGCTGTAACGTATCACAAGCTTCCACAAATGCACTTTGCTCTCAGTAAGGCCGGCCACGCCCAACAGGGTGATGTAAGACTTACCTGGTTGTTACTGTTGGCAGCTGACGCGTTAGCCTGAGCTGTACTTGCTGAGAGGGAATCGAGGAAGGCTTGGTCAGCCACTGAATTTCCACAAGAAAATGGATCTTTCCCATCACTGGGCAAAATCTGAATATTAGAAAGAATCACAATTACTTTCATAGATTAGAGTTTCAGAGTTGGAGTCCCTGAGGGCAAGTAAGAATTGCTATCTATTATAGAAAAGGGGCTTATATTCCTAAGAGGCAAGTAAGCCAACAACATTTAACTATTCCTTTCTGTAAATATGCAGAATTCTAGGAAATGCAATTAATGACAGTATCTACTTAAATCCTCAGATTTTTCTTATTCTTGTCAATTTTCAGAATCCTGAAAGCACACTGCACAGAACTAAAACACAACATACACGTAAGACATGTGGACCGAGTTCAGAGGCCTGTGGACCCTCTGAAAGTGTATGGAAAAGGCTGGGTGCATGCATATGCACATGTCTCTGAGAAGTGCTACAGATTCCATCAGATTCTCCAAAGGATTCAAAACTTCCCACCCACACTCTCTCCATCAGGAACAAGAGATGGGCAGCCATCCCGTTCCGCAGGCAGCGCCTGGTAAACATCGTCCCTGGGTACAGCTCCTCTCTACTGGAGGAAACCGCAGAACCTTTATTCTGGATCACGTTCTGATTTTACTCACAGGGTACCAGGCAGCCTTAGTTTCTATTATCCCAGATTAGAGACCAGCTCGCCCTATAACCCATACTTAGTTTTGAGTGACCTACAGACAACCAGCGGGGGGCGCCAGGAGTTTGACGCACAAGAGGGCTTGTCAGAGGAGTGGGTGTGTCCCAGGCAGGGAGCCTCATTCATTCAGGGTGTTGTAACACTGGCCTTGGCATCTATCATGACAGAGCTTAAACCAGGCAATGGTTCCCTGTCGCTCATTCAAGACCCTTCTGTCTATGGGGATGGGAGAAGGAACTGAGAGAAATATACTGAATTTAAACTTTGTGAATCAATTCTGTAACAAACAGTATTGTAGGCAGCAGCTATTACACAATATAAGCAAGTGACAAGCAGGGACTTAGATTCAGAATAAGGAAACACTGCTATCTTTGGGGAGAGCTTCACTTAAATATTTGAGTCGCTCTTTGGAGCCTGGGTCCACAGATAATATTTTTTCTTAATTCTACTTCAATGCCTTCTCACATTTTACATAATTAGCGTGTATTGCTTTTGCAGTGAAAATTTTTTATTAAAAATAAAGTTGCTATCATCTAGTCTGTCCCTTAAGTTGATAATTCATAAAACTATGTTTGACAAAGACAAGGTTTAATTGATAAATGGCAGTAAGTTCTTACTTCAACATAGTCTGTGGGAACAAGACCTCGTTCTCCTTTGCTGTTTTTTGCTTCCAGCCATCCTCCACCAACATCCTAAGAAAGTTAAAAAAACAACACACACACAAAACACACAAAACAAAACAAACAAACAAAAAACGGAAAGAATATAGTTAGAATTTCTTGCAAAATTTTTACTTTGGGAATTTATGTGAGAACACAATTCAAAATTTTAAATTATTAAGCCTTCTCTTTACTCCAGAAAATAATATCATCTAAAAACAAGAAGTATCAAACTTCAACAATAAGTGATCAAAGATTTGTAAATAGCCTATTCACAGAATGCCATCATTTTGTGATTCCTTCCTATTTATGGTCTGTGGTAGATTACAAAAATGATCTGCAGCTCTGATTGGCAAGAAGCAGCATGCACACCCCACCTCTAGAACTGGCGCTGTCCTTTGTGGCCTCTTGGTCAACAGAGTGAGGTGGAAATGGTGCAGTGAGCTCAAGAGGCTTTGCACATTTCAGACTGCTTTTCCCCTAAAAGAGCTGCTATGTGAACACATCTGCGTTGCTAGATGATGAAGAAGACAAGGCCCAATCTGCCTGTTGCCCCATCTAAAGCCAGCCTGCCCCCAGCAGGAACACTGCCAGTCACGTGAGTGAGTGAAACCATGTTACCTAGGGGGCCCCAGCCCAGTGCCAGGTGCCCTCAGGCGCACGAATAAGCCCAGGCTGGTAGAACTATCCAGCTGACTTGCAGACTCCTGAGCAACAACAAATGGTTGTTCGTTTTAGTCACTAAGCTCTGAGATTGCCTATTATTTAGGAAAAGCTAACTAATTGATCCATGGGTTCCTTAGTTAGCTCTTCTGATAAATAATATTAATAAAATAAATAATAAAGTACTCTATACCAGGATTCCTGTGTTTCAATCTATTATCTCAGCAAAAACCCACTTTCCCCCCTTAAAATAGTAAGAGTTGTCTTAAGTTCATAAATTGTGCCCTAATTATTTCCTTGGTTGCAGGCACATCCCCAATAGGGGTGTGCAGGAGGCAGCTGATCGATGTTTCTCTCTCATTGATGTTTCTAACTCTCTATCCCTCTCCCTTCCTCTCTGTAAAAAATCAATAAAATATATTTTTAAAAAATTACCTGAATCTAGATAAAACATTTTTCATTCTTTTAAAAAAAAATTACTCTAAGCCACAACTCTGTCCATTTTTAACAACAGCAACTTAAAGACATTACTATTTTTCTAAGATATGAAGAATATGTCTTCATTAAAAAAATTAGGTAGATAAAAGAATCAAAATTTCATCAATGATTTAAAAATAGAATCCATTTACTTATATACACCTAGCATCCTATATAATCCTATATAATAAAGATGTAATATGCAAATGGTCGTTATGCCATGACACATAATGACCAACCGTGTAATGACTGGATCACGGATCAGCAGGAGGGTGGGGCAGCGAGCTACAAGCAGGGAGTGGAGAGCTACAGGAGGCGGCAGGGCAGCAAGCTATGAGGGGGGTTGAGTGGGGGGAGCTACAGGAGGGTGGGGAGGCAAGCAGAGAGCTACTGGAGGGCGGCAGTGAGCTACTGGCGCAGGGCTACTAGCATTTTATAAAACCACATATACTTTTTCTACCCAGTAATTCATTTTTGTAGCTAAGGCAGATTTTAAAATAGGTGTAAAAATACTACCACTATTAAGAAGCCACCATCCTCCTCTCGGGCACCCCGTCCTCCCCTCCTGGTGGAACACCTGCATCTCCTTCCTTCTCCTGAGTGCCCTGGGCCTTCCTGTCGGAGAGTCCAGGGAGCCAGCCCATCTCCAGCCTCCTCTCCAGCTCTGCATTTCCACTCTTAAACTGATGCAACCCCCGTTAATCATTTTCTATTCTTTAAACTCAACATACCTAAAGTAAACTCATTTCATCTTTCTTCCTGACTTACACACATTAATAAGTCTTAGGCGTAAAGGACAAAAACCTCAGGGGTCCTTGACTCTCTTCTCACCAACAGTGTCTCATCAGGCCCAAGTCCCCTGGGTCTGACTCTCCACAGCCTCCTCTATCACTTTTCTTTCAACTTTTATTGCTATGACTCAAAGTCACGTCCCTCGATTCCAATTCATTCCATATACCTCTACTAGATTATTTTCCTCAAAGTGCAGGTCTCATCATGTCTCCCTACCAATGCCACCAATCACAAAAAACAAGCAAAACCCTCAAATGAATCCACTACTTAACAAATGAAGCCCAGAATCTGTGTATGCCCTGGCACACAAGTCCTGTCCGATTTGGCTCTAAGAGCCCGTTTCCTAGCCTGTCTCCTACTGATCTATACCTACCTGTGCTCCTGGGACACTGGTGCCCATGCATTGTCCCCAGCAGAGAAGAAAAGCGGAAGCTTAGAGGCCAAACAGATGTGGCTTTGAACCCTTGTTTTGTCGCTTACAAGCAGAATGACCTTGGACAAGTTACTTAACTTCTCTAAGTCTCATCACCCTCATTTGCAAAAAGAGATGAAAAATACTGACCCATAGAGCTCATGGGGAAAATACAATAAAGAAAACAGGCACAGAACTTAGCCAAATGCCTGACTCATAGGTTGTCAATATGTTGCTGCGACTTCGAAGAAACACTGAGTCCTTTCTAATTTCAGCACCTTTGATCTGGCTGGGATCCGGCTAGGATTTCTATCTGATGAAACCCTACCCAGCGATCTTTAGGGGACTTGACTTACTCCATGTTTATAAAATATTCTTGCCCTGGCTGGTGTTGCTCGGTGGTTAAAGCCTCAGCCCATACACCGAAGGGTCTCAGGCTCCATTTCCGGTCAAGGGCGCGTACCTGGGTTGCCGGTTCCCTCCCCACTCCTGGTCAGGGCAGCAACCAATCGATGTGTTTCTCTCACACTGATTTCTCTCTATCTCTGTCTGTCTCTCTCTCTCACCCTCCCTCCCTCCCTACCTCCCCCCACCTTTCACTCTGAAAAAGCAATGGAAAAAACATCCTCTGGTGAGGATTAACAAAAAAAATAAATAAATAAAATCTTAAAAATAAGTCCTTAGGGGACAATTCGATTTAAATGCAATAGTTCTCTTACCGGATTTGTAATTGTGATGATTTCTCCTTCACTGACTGTCAGTTCATTATTTCCAGGTTCGGCAGCAAAATCATACAAAACCCGAGCCTGTTGGGAGTGGAAAGGAAAAGAAGTTACAAATGTAAACTTAGTAAAACAACCAACAACCTTTAAGTTCCTTTTGTATGCATGCTGGTATGAACAGACACCACATGACAGCGGCCGCCATGTTTTGGGAGAAAGGAGGCATATTACCAAGATGATGCAGAGCCCAGTTCTGTTTTGGAAACAGGAGAAGTTCTGCATTTAGAGACTGGCCCCCCAAAAGTCCTCAAAACACGCCCATTTCATCAAGGGGAAAAAGGGATGCCCCTCCTTTCCAGGAGGTAAGACACAGTAACCCAGACACTGTTCATTATGGGAACTCACTCTCAGGGACCAGAGAGATATACAGAGACGTACAAATATGTAGACACCTGCAAGAGTCAGACATCTTTAACGTTTTCCCTTCACTAAAACTCTCAACATTCTTTAGAGCCACTGGGATGAATCCTGATACTGCATTTTCCCAGACAAGTAAACTCAGAATGCAGGATACACTGCATTCTTCTTCTACAATATTACCCACTGTACAATGACTCATAGGGCTGTGGAGACTGGCCAGTAAATTTCAAACATTTTCCTGCAATGAAATCTTAATTTCTCAGAAAACATCTGAGGGTTCAAAGAGGATCCTTGAGGCACCAACCCAGAAATGTGAGCTCCTTGGAATATTGCCACACATGTATTCTGAGAGAGAATCACTGTTGAAAAAAAATGTATGTGTATTATAGATCATAAAAAAATATATATCTTGCCCTAGCTGGTTTTGCTCAGTGGATAGAGCATCAACCCATGGACTAAAGGGTCCTGGGTTTGATTCTGGTCAAGGGCACATGCCTCGGCTGCAGGCTCGATCCCTGGTCCCTGTCAGGGTGTGTGCAGGAGGCAGCGATGATGTCTCTCCCCCCTCCCTTCCACCTTCTCTAAAAATCAATGGGAAAATATGCTCAGGTGAGGACTAACGACAACAAACAAACAAAACCCCCTTTTTAACCATTTCAAATGCTACAGAAATGCCTCTCACGGACTGTCTCATAAAAAGAAGTCCATCGTATAAATTGAGGCTCACCCATGTCTAGAGATATAGGGTTTATTTTTAAAGTAACTGTCCTAAGAGGCAAACTGAAGTTTACCTCCAGGGCTAGTCAAACAGAATGGATGGAACGGCATTCACTTCACCAATATCTACCGCACGCCTAGCGTAGGCTGAGACCTGTGCGAGGCTCCGTGCTCGCCAGTGCGCTTTCTCACACCTGCCTAACAATGCCTGAAATCCTTATCACAAGGATTAAGCATTCACAGCTAGTAATTTAGGGAAAAACCTAAATACTCATTTTCAAGGACATCAAAAATAATAAGATGTGCTCTTCGGGCTCGGTGCGGTGGTCGGCATGGCCCGTGAGTGTGCGGACAGGCTGGGGAAGCGGCAGGGAAGCCGGCGGGTCACCCAGGCGCGGCCGGCAGGCGGGGAGCCAGGGGCCGGCGGGGACAGCAGAGGGGGACGGTGGACATCAACGAGAACTTGCCCGCCAGAAAAACATGAAGAAATCCAGGGAAATTAGCAAGGGAAAAAGAAAAGAGGATAGCTTGACTGCCTCTCAGAGCAAACAGAGACTCTGAGATCATGCAACAAAAGCAGAAAGCAGCTAACGAGAAGTCCACGCAGACAAGAGAAAAATGATGACTGACAATTTGGAAAACCTGGTGCTACTGCCAACGAGGGGTATTATAGGCTCTACGATCAAGATTTTGTAGAGTGAACAGTCATTATATATGTTATAACGTATCTTTATAAAACTATTTTAAACTCTACCTTTCAGTCTGACTTAGTGTAATGTTTCAGACCATTCTTCAAAGAATAAAACACTAACCATGCATGAGAAAAAAATAATAAGATGGACTGATGGGTGAGTATGCGATAAAGCAGGTATCATAAAGGCTATTTATAGAATCTAGATGGTGGGTTTATGGTGTTCAATGAAAAATGATTTCAACTTTTCTACATGTTTGAGAGTTTTCATAATAAAATGTTGGAAAGAAACAAATGGTAGTGCATAGTGTGTCAGTGAAGAAATGGCACCTGATTCCTTACTTCCATCTTTACGGAGAGGCTGGTAAGGGATGGGAAGAATGGACTGCGGGCAGAGACTCTGGGAGCATTCGTTTTCCTTAGGTCATTTCAAGCACAACAAAACTGTGCTGAGGGGTGTTTCTCCTACAGCTGCAAAAGTACAAGAATTCTGCTTGTCATGTTGTGGAATATTTTTCAAAAACATGTCATACCAATCTCAATCCGTCGTGCAAAGAGGGCAGGCATGAGATAAATGGGTGAGGCGGGTCCTCCCCTGTCAGGAGGGTCCCAGAGCCAGGACACACCCCTCAGCACAGCAAGCTTCCTAGGGAGGGCTCTGGTGTGCTGACAAGAGCCAGATGTTTTCTTATTATTCCTTAAGAATCCCAGTTAACAATTTTTTTAATCCTACTAACTCCAACTAATCCCCAAATACAGAATACCAAAGTCTCTTTACCAAATTTACAACTTGGTAAAACAAAATGTCAAAAACAAAAACAAAAACTGGAAACTCTTATACATTTAAATGTTACTAAACATGCCCTAACCGGTTTGGCTCAGTGGATAGAGCGTCAGCCTGCGGACTCAGGGGTCCCAGGTTCGATTCTGGTCAAGGGCATGTACCTGGGTTGCGGGCACATCCCCAGTGGGAGATGTGCAGGAGGCAGCTGATCGATGTTTCTCTCGCATTGATGTTTCTAACTCTCTATCCCTCTCCCTTCCTCTCTGTAAAAAATCAATAAAATATATTTTAAATAAATAAATAAATGTTACTAAACATTTATCCAAGGCAAAAATGTATATAAACATTGTAGGGTTATTTAAAACACTGATCAATACTTTTTTTAATCTAGAGTGGTCTCTTAAAAATTAGACATGAGAATAATTTTGGAGAAAACAAATATTTCAAAGGCACATCCCCAAATAAGCATAATAGGCCAACAGAAAAAATAATTCAATGTTCAGCCTAGAGGAGCAACTTTTCTCTTCTCTTCTCTTCTCCTTTCTCTTTTCTTTGCTTTCTTTCTTTTCTTGTTTTCTCTCTTTCTAAAGAACTTTACATTTTACTTTTCAATTAGTTTACATATAATATTATTGTGTGTTAGTTTCAGGTGCACAGCATAGCAGTAGACAATCACATCCTTCATGAAGTGGTCACCCTGATATTTCAAGTGCTCACCTGGCACCATACCCAGTTAGTACAATATTAGGGACTCTATTCCCTATGCTCCACTTTACCCCCGTGACTATTCTGTAACTGCCAATTTGTGCTTCTTAATCCCTTCACCTCTATCACCCAACACCCAGGCTTCCTCCCCTCTGGCAACCACCAGTATGCTCTGTGTTTATGAGTCTGTTTGCATTTTGTTTGTATATTTTGGAGGATCAATTATTCTTCTACAGCTTAAGTAAGAACCAGAACGCATTCTAATAGACCCTGAGAGCATTACTGTATTACATCATTAATATAGATGTATTTGTCCCTATTATAAATGTTAAGGCTTCAATGCTTTTCAGTTCATATTAATCCATGATTTCAATCACTTTAAATTCTGGCTTGTGCTTATTCTGTTGTTATTTTGAATCAAATACAGAATCTTAAATATCTCTACAATTTCATCCTGTTAGACTCAGCCCACTGCTTCTACCTACTAACTAGTTTTCTGAATTCTGAAGCCACTAATTTATCCCTGATGCTTTCCTGCCGAGTCATCAGAAAGCCCGGGATAAGCATGCTTTCCATAGTTTGACCCGCTTCATTAATAAACTGTTAAAATATGGTAGCCAGGGAGCCAAGAGAGCCACTAGAGATAAGAAATTCTCCAAGGGGACATGGGTCAATTAATTACCATGTTTTGGGTATGGTACTCTTAAAATTTCCAAAGAAGAAAATAAAGTTAGTCTATTTCTTTAAATGTTCACAAGTCACATGTTTGATAATTCATTCAAGAATCTATTCAAGCCCTGGCCCATGTGGCTCAGTTATTGGAGCATCGTCCCGTACACCAAAAGGTTATGAGTTCAATTTCCAGTCAGGGCACATACCTAGGTTACGGTTTGATCACCCCATTGGGGGCTGTAGGGGAGGCAACCAATTGATGTTTCTATCTCTCTAAGATTCAATAAAAACATATCATCAGGTGAGGATTAAAAAAATAAATGAAAAAAAAAAAGATGATTAGAAGGCAGAATCTGTATTAAGGGCTATATATTCCTGCAGTTCTCATTCTGAGTACTGTATATAAACATAATATACTTTCACGACAAGGACAAAAGCAATATAATGAAGTTAAAAAATGTTCCTCTTTGCCAAAGGATACAAATGCTAACAGATCGGAAAGTACCCTTAAAGTACCCTTCAAAACATTACGCATTTGATACATGTTTGCACATAAACACAAAACCACTTAGAACCATAGTACATATACTCTTCTACAGGTCATATTTCATTTACTCTTAGTTCTCTTCATATCAGCATATTTACCTTCTCTTTATCACACTGGCAAGGTTACTACTAACCTCCAGGGCAAAGCACACGAAAACCTACCTCTCTGTGTGGAAGAAAATAACTTCACTCCCACCCCAAATTAAAATAGCTTTATTATTTTCCTGATTGTAAAAAGACATGTACATGGTAAAACACACACACACACACACACACACACACACATATGCTTTTCGAACCCCAAAGATGATTGGTAGAGAACTTATATGCACTCCCAGTAACAGTGTCTGTCTAAGCTGCCACCTCCCAGGCCCCAGTATTGTGTACTGAATGTTTTCCATTCATCCCACAAAAGGGGAGGAAATGTAATTATTGGCAACACAGCAATTAAGCTGGCTTTGAAACCAGACCATGCAGGTTCAACTAGGCTGAATTCCTTAAAGCTAAAGGTCTCTCTCTGAAATTCCTCAAGAATAAGATAAGGATAAC